CCAGGATACTCACCGGGCCCTGGTCGACTGGCTCACTACACATGTATGGGCCATATGTTGTTATTGACTCTATATAAAAAGCTCTGCCCAGTGCTCTGGGCGACACAGTGAGATGGCTGCAAGGCTGCAGGAAGAGCAGAGACAAGACTGGAGTGGTGGCAGTACCAAAGACAGAGAATGAGAGGCTGCAGGGGCAGAGACACCCAGAGGCCAAGACTGGCTGGTTGCAGGCAGAATGGCTCTGAGTGGATGCGGATTGACATGCCACCATGGAAATAAAGTTGGGTATAACCCTTTCACGCCAAGAACATTCTACTATCATTCCCATTTCTTTGATCACATTGAATCCATAGTGAACTTGTCCGGGGCTGAAACCCATTGACAAGACAGGAATAATCACAAGGGACACCACAGAAATACAAAGAATTATTAGAGAATACTATGAAAAATTATATGCCAATAAATTGGACACCTAGAAGAAATGGACAACTTTCTAGAAACATACAACCTTCCAAGACTGACCCAGGAAGAAACAGAAAATCTGAACAGACCAACTACCAGCAATGAAATCGAATTAGTAATTAAAAAACTACCTAAAAACAAAAGGCCTGGTCCAGATGGCTTCACAGCCATCTACTTGAATTTTATCAAACATTTAAATAGAAGTTAACACCCATCCTTCTTGAAGTATTCCAAAAAGTAGAAGAGGAGGGAATACTTCCAAACTCATTCCATAAGGCCAGCATCACTCTAATAACAAAACCAGACAAAGATGTCACAAAAAAAGAAAATTATAGATCAGTATCTCTGATGAATACAGATGCAAAACTCTCAACAAAATATTAACAAACCCAATCCAAAAACACATCAAAAAGATCATCCATCATGACCAAGTTGGATGAATCCAGGGATGCAAGGATGGTACAATAGTTATAAATTGAAAAATATCATATATCACATCAACAAAAAGAAGGACAGAAATCACATGATCATCTCCATAGATGCTGAAAAAGCATTTGACAAAATTCAACATCTATTCATGATAAAAACTCTTAACAACAAGGTGTACAGAGGGCAAGTACCTCAACATAATAAAGGCCATAGATGACAAACCCACAGCCAACATCATGCTTAATAGAGAAAAGCTGAAAGCTTTTTCTCTGAGACTGAGAACAAGACAAGGATGCCCACTCCCACCATTCTTATTCAACTTAGTACTGGAGGTCCTAGCCACAGCAATCAGACAACACAAAAAAATAACAGGCATCGAAATTGGTAAGGAAGAAGTTACACTATCACTGTTTACAAATGACATGATATTATACATAGAAAACCAAAGACTCCACCAAAATACTACTAGAACTAATAACTGAATTCAGCAAAGTTGTAGCATGCAAAATTAATACACAGAAATCTGTTGCATTCCTATATTCTAACAACAAATTAGCAGAAAGAGAAATCAGGAAGACAATTCCATTTACAATTGCATCAAAAAGAATAAAATACCTAGGAATAAACCCAACCAAGGAGGTGAAAGATTTTTACTCTGAAAATTATAAGACACTGATGAGAGAAATTAAAGAAGACACCAATAAATGGAAATCTATCCTGTGCTCATGGATAGGAAGAATTAATATTGTCAAAATGGCCATGCTGTCCAAAGCAATTTACATATTCAATGCAATCCCCATCAAAATACCAATAGCATTCTTCAATGAACTAGAACAAATAGTCCTACAAGTCATAGGGAACCACAAAAGACCCCGAACAGCCAAAGCAAACCTGAGAAAGAACGACAAAACTGGGGTATTAGGCTCCCTGACTTCAAGCTCTGTTTACAAAGTCACAGTAATCAAAACAATTTGGTACTGGAACAAGAATAGACCCATAGATCAATGGTCAACTAAAATACGATAAAGGAGACATGAATATACAATATGGCAAAGACAGCCTCTTCAATATCTGGTGTTGGGAAAACTAGAATTAAACCACAATGAGATATCACCACATACCAGTTAGGATGGCCACTATCAAAAAGACAAGAAATAACAAATGCTGGCGAGGATGTGGAGATAAAAGAATTCTCCTACACTGTTAGTGAGAATGTAAATTGGTGCAACAGTTGTGGAAAGCAATATGGAGGTTCCTCAAAAAATTAAAAGTAGAAATACCATTTGACCCAGTAATTCCACTCCTAGGAATTTACCTGAAGAAAACAAGATCTCTGATTTGAAAAGGCATATGCACCCCTATGTTTATCACTGCACTATTTAAAACTGCCAAAATATGGAAGCAACCTATGTATTCATCAAAAGATGAACAAAGAAGAGGTCGTACATATACACAATGGAATATTATTCAGCCATAAGAAGAAAACAAATCCTACCATTTGCAACAACATGGATGGAGCTAGAGGGTATTATGCTCAGTGAAATAAGCCAGGCAGAGAAAGATAAGTACCAAATGATTTCACTTATTTGTGCAATATAAAAACAAAGCAAAATGGAAGGAACAAAATAGCAGTAAACTCATAGACACTGAGAAGGAACTAGTGGTTAACAAAAGGGAGAGGCTGGGAAGAGTTGGAGGAGAGGGGGAAGGGGATTAAGAGGCACAATAATTCACAATCACTATATAGGTTGGTCACAGGGATGGTGGTACAGCACGGAGAATACAGGTAATGATTCTATAACATCTTACTACATTGATGAACAGTGGTGACCACACTGGAGGGGGTGAGGACTTGATAATATGGGAAAATGTTGAACCACTGTGTTGTGTCTTTGAAACCAAATTAAGATTATATATCAATGATACTTTCATTAAAAAAAGAGAGAGAGAGAGAGAATAAAAAGTGTTATCTCAGATGTGGATAAACTGGAACCCACATAAGAGAAAATGGACTGGTAGTTCCTCAAAAGGTTAAACACAGTTACCTAGGTATATTGAAGAGACATGAAAACATATCCACACAAAAACATATACAGGAATGTTTTTAGAAGTATTATTGACAATAATCACAAAATAGAAACCCAAATATCCATCAATTGATGAATGGATAAGCAAAATTCTATAAATGGAGTATTATTTAGAAATAATCAAATAAAAAGGACTTAATTACTAATACATGTGACAAAATAGATGAACTCTAAAAACAATACTCCAAGGCACTCACAAAAGGCTATATATTGTATGATTCAATTTATATGAAATATCCAGAAGAGGCAAATGTATAGAGACAATAGATTAGTACTTGTTTAGGTCTGGAGAAGGATGGGGGGGTGGGGGGGCACAGTTTTCTTTGGGGATGATGAAAATATTCTAAAATTGATTGTGGTGATGGTTGCAGAACTCTGTGCATATACTAAAGAACATGAAATGTTATACTTTAAACAATTAGGTGACTTGTAAAAAAATGTAAATGTGTTTTATGAATTATTAAACATGTTCTTACTTAAAAAAATATTTAATAATAAATTAGTCATGGGAATGAAAGTATAGCATAGGGAATACAGTCAATAATATTGTAATATCTTTTTATGGTGACAAATGATAACTACACTTACAGTGAGCATTTCATAATGTATGTAATTGTCAAAACACTATATCATACACCTGAAACCAATATAATATTGCATATCAACTACATTACCATTTTTTAAATGCAATGAATAAATTTCAGTGGGATTTACAACAGTCTGGCCTGATTTTATAATCTGTTCAGTACACATCCTCATATCAGGGGATTCTATTCTGAATTATACCACCTATTAGAGAAATGGAGGTATTCAGATTATTACACAGGAAAAAATTACCTCACACAATAAAGAGGCTCAGCAAAACATAAAAGTTAAATCATAGACATGTTTTTAAACCTCTTCTTCCCATGTTCACTCACCTGTAACTGACCCCCAACAAGCACCTAGGATGTAACCTTTGGGCCTTACTTTCTTCAGCCATAAAATGGAAATAAAAACAGCTCCTATCTTACAGAGTTGTGAATATTAAATGAGCCAATACACATAAAATGCTTAGAACAGTGCCTGACAGTGTAATTTAAAAAAAAATGTTAGCTATGATTATCCATGCTTTTTATAGCTTCATAAACTCACCAAGCCTGGCAAAGTGCCTTGCATATATTGAGTTCAAAATAAAAGCTTATTGAATGAAACTGAGTTAAATCCAAGGCTAAAAATTCATAGTGAATGGGGGAGAATGATTCAATCATTCTACAAAAACACACTCAATGATTGTTGGGGGTCACTTACAGGTATGAGTGAACATGAGAAGAAGAGGTTTAAAAACATGTCTATGATTTGTTAACTTACATGTTTTACTGAGCCTCTTTATTATGTGAGGCAATTTTTTCCTGTGTAATAATCTTAAATTTCTATATATAAAAGTCCTGATTGCAAATGTAACCATTTCTTAAACGACCCTGCCAGGAGAGGCAGCGGTGCAATAAATAAATCAATACATCACATACTGTACATCAAAAAAAGAATTTAAAGTTTGTGTATCATTTCACAAAATATTTCAATTCCTAACATCCTTCCCTCGAGTAAATTTAAACTCGGTGCGTAACTCAGAAAAGATAGTATAATTTGTCTCAAAGAACCTTAAAAGGGAGGAGAACACAATTTTAATAAATAATAAGGCAAATATTTTTTTTAGTTGTAAATCAACTGTAGTCTTTAAAATAAACTTTAAAACTTTAAAACTTCACACACAAGCACACACACACAGAAATGAACAGAACTGTTCCGTTCAAGTGTGTGGGCAGGGTCCCTGCCCCACCCCCACCCACCCCTTCCCACCCTCCTTCGGCCAGGTGGGATGCAGGACTGGAAACTATATAACGGAGCACAAGGCCTGCGCAGCTTAAGGCCTCGTGCTCCGGAGAAGAATCTGGCGAGGAAGGCTGGAGAGGGACCCTCCGTCCCTCCGGCCGAGGCTGGGAACGCACAGGGAGGACCGCGCAGGGGTGCAGGGAGCCATACCGTGTTGGAAAGGGAGATTCCGGCGTCGGATCGCTGCACCCTGAGGAGCATCTGGTTCCCATCATCCAAGAAGTTGTTGATTTCAGGACGGTTGTACAGCAGGGGCTGGTCGCCGGGTTCCGACTCCAGTCCAAAGTAATTGTGGGTAGTGGTGAAGATGAAAAGCTTCCGAACGTCCGCGGTTCCACCCGCCATGATTTTAGAGAGAGGGAGGAAGTGGGGAAAGGGGGTTAAAAAGAAGATAGAAGAAAACAGTTGCGAGGAAAGTGATGAGCCGAGATTGCTCAAACCCTGAGCCCGCCCGCTAGGCTGCGGAGCTTCGCCGTTGCCAAGGGCAATAGCTATGGCGACGAAGCACTACGTAGGCGCCGCCGCCGCCGACGCGCAACGGTCGCTACCCTCTCGGGCACGCGCACGCAAAGCTCTCGGGGACCGTCGACCACCTCGGAGATCCTTAGCTGCTCGCCGAGATCATCGATTGAAAGGGTTTAGGGTGAGTTTGTGTCAGGTCGCAAAACCTGCCTTTATTCTCTCTACTGATTTCTTAAAACGCATAATTAGAAGAGCTGCATCTAGTCAAGCGCAGCAGCGTGACCTAGATTTAGGAGGGCTGGGTTCTAATACTCTCTCTGCACCTGCACGTGTTAACAAACCTCTCAGCATCGGATTGCACATCTGTAAAATGGGGAATTCCTAGGTTGCAATGAGAATTTTTAATTTTGAAAATCTCTTTTTAAAGAGGTTGATAAAGAATGGGAGTTAAATACAATGTTAATTTATTTCCTCAATGTTCCTCTTCTCCTGTTGGTTAATTTTCCACCCATTATTTTTAGTTATTATTAAGTATCAGAAAAACTGAACCACCAATTTTTCATCGCAGTCTTTATGTGAACACACAACCATATCTGTAAAATGACCAAAACATAAAATGAGACTTATTACATAACAAAGACAGCCAAACATTGAAAAAATTAAAGATGTTGGCCTGGCTGAGTTATCCAAGCTCAAGCTCACATAGTTGAGGCAAAATTCAATTCCTTGCAGTTGTAATACTGAGGTCCCCATTTCTTCGCTGGCTGTCAGTTGGAGTCGGTTTCAACAGCTAGAAGACGTTGAAATCCTCACTTCCTTCTTCAAAGCCAACAATGGAGATTTTTCTCACACATCAAATCTCTCTTGTGTTTCACATCTTGTAACAGGAAAGGCCCATTCCTTTTAAGGGTGTTTACCTGATTAGATCAGGCCCAATGGATAATATCCTCTATTAACTCAAAGTCAGCTGATTAGTAAACTGAGCATAGGAGTGATATCCCATCTTATTTACAGGTTTCTTTCCACACTCAAGGTTAGAAGGTTTTACAAGGTGTGCCCATCAGGAAGTGAAAACTGGGGTCATTTTAGAATTATGGCTACCATAGACACCATCACTTTTTTGTCATCAATGCAAATGTCAAGTACAGTGAAAAAAGGCACAAAATGATTTACTGGTATTGTGAAATAGTTCACAGACTTCACAGACTCCTGAAAATGTTTCAGGATTCCCAGGGGTCCACTGTTCTACATGATCTCTAAAGTATCTGCATGTATTCTGAACATGATTAAAGGAAAAAGTTATTTTATATTTTATTGATTGTTTTACAAATATTGAGCAAATTATGTTAAAGACAATGTTGGATATGTCTAGTGGGTGTTGTACATGAAAGAAGGATTTCAGAACCTCATTCAGACTTAAAAAGCTGAAACTTTAAGGCATGGTATTTGGATTTTAATCATCAGTATAATGAAATATACTCTAATATGTCATTTAATGATCAACACAAATACTTAATTATATTTACCTCTATACATTTTTATGTGTCCTAGTAAAATAAAAATAATTCTATTTCTTCTGATTCTGTTCCTAAGTCAGTGAATAATCACTAGCCATTACTTCTGGTTCAAATAGGGAACCAATTCTTCTTCAGTGAATCGTACTGAAAATAGGGAGAAATGAAGGAGACAGGTAAGCAAGGGTGTTAAGTGTTTATTGGCTTATAACACAGCTGAAGATAATTCTTTATCTGCACTTCTGCCCTCCTTTCTCCTCCAACTAATCCTGAGCATGGTTGTGAAGGGAGTGGGAATAGGCCAGAAATGTGATGATATAGGGATGATTTTTACCAGCCTCACTGACAAAGAGAACCAGTAACAGGCATTAGGGAACAAAATCAGACTATAGCATTCCTTGTAGATAATATTTTTTAGCTTCTTTATGAGACAATATAAACATTATGATTCAGTAATTTAAATGTTTTGAATCTTACTGTCTTAATTGACAATATATCTTATTGGTATTGAGGGGAAAGAACTGTGTGGCAAAGTACTTGATTAGCTCTTAAGGTTCTGCACATTAGTTCCACTCACAGTTTATTGACCAGGCAAGTCACATGGTCACGTCTAACTGCAAGTGGTCAGCTAAGTGCAACTGTACCGTATATACAAAAAAGAAAGAACTGTAGAGTATTTGAGAACAGTCCTTCCTAATGGCTAGCATACTTTGCAATGTCTATCAGATTAGGGAAAAAAATATTGCTTGAACTAAGCAAAAGAAGCTACACTTTCTCTTCTGCAATAGTAACCAATAATGTTTTAGAGCGCAGCTGCTCTAGTAATGAACAATCGGTGTCTCCAGCTGACCCTTGACCAACACGGAGTGTGAGCAAATTTTGTTGGTTTAACGGAACTATTGGCTTCTTCGTTGCTCTGGCCTAATCCAGCCCATCCAGACTGCGGCAGACAGGGCAGGTACTCACCCACCCCATTGTCTCACACCAGGCCATTTCACTGATTTACATAACCTAGCAGGCCCTAGGCCTGAGTCTGTAAAGCTGCTTTATAGAAAGCTGCCTTAATGAAGTCTGTTGCAACTGCACTAAATTATGATAATCATTTGTCTGAAGATAGTCCTTTCAGTTTTTAGGGTAATGAAGTATGCTAGTGAAACTGTTTCAAGTTTCTTAGGACAAAAAATTTTCAAAACATATTAAGTAATCTTTCCTTGTATAACAATGCTAATTATTCTTTTAGATGTTTTGGTGCTGTTTTCTTTACAATGGTTGTGATCTTTATTTTCCTTTTATTTGCAGGCAACAATTGTTTAGATTTGTGAATGCCTTTTAATATTATTTTAAAAAATACATAACCGTTGATGTAAACTGCTGAAGGGAAAGCTTTTTTACACCTGGGTGACTATTTGTAAAGATGTGGACATAAACTTATTTTGAGTCTTATTTTTTATTTATCCTTCCATTTCTAGTTCCATAAAATAGTTGTTGCAATTAAATCAGAGCTTTCTGCTTCACAGCCTACCTTCTTTTTTGGAATAAATAATGTGATAAAATAACCCTCTAACATCAAAGCCTGTTGCTATGAGAACAGAACATCAAAAAAAAATGGCAGCATCAATTTACTCAGCTCAGGATAAATTTAGAGGAAAAGAAACCAAGTTACAATTCCTATTTTTCAAACATTGCCTGGGTACGTTTAATTCCTAAATATATCTAACAAATACGAAATTTGAAATTTTATAGCATTGAGAAATACACTTACTGAGACTAATGGAAGTTATTCCTATCACGTATCTAGTGTTCTTATCAGGATGGGGCTGTGAGGTCAATGAATACACATTTTGGGGAGTCCTTTATTACAGAAAGAAAAGCGAGTTAAGATCTCCATGTGGTGCACAGGCCTTTCCATCACGTTCAGATGTGGCTCCTCACAGTCCAGCAACCTATAAAAACCAAAAAGATAAGTTACCTGAGCTTCCTGCTAGGCTGAAGCTTTGGGAGCTTGATGGTTGGTTTAAGGCTCAGTCTTTTTTTATCTAAACACATGGTTTCTTTAATTGTAAAATTCTCTTAAAAACTTAATAACTTTCTGATGTATTTGCTTTTGGTTCCATATTCTAAATTCCACATTCTAGTTCTTTCCTACTTATAAAGCTCTAGAATGATTTCTTTGCTTTCTCAAACACTTGCCCCCCTCTTTCAGTTGATGGTAGCTAGCTCCAGGCTATCTGAAATAACAGGTTAGCAAGGTTAAAACCTCCTCTTGCAAAAAGATAGTTTTTGTGTTCATATGTTTGTTTTTTAACTGAGAGCTCTTTTAATGTCTTTGTCATTTAAAATTTTTCCAATTTTATCTTCTATTACTTAAGGTATGGGGTGTTCTTTTCTAACCCTGAAGGGACCTTGATCTCTAGAATTCCTTAGTACCTTTTTATCTTCTAGAAAACCTACTGATTCTCATCTGAACTCCCGTCTTTCCTGTAATATCTTGCCAAAAATAAATAACTATGGCCAAAACATACCACTCTGCCTCCATATATTTCTGATAGTCTCACTAGGCTAATGGTCTACCTTCTACTCACTGGGCACAGTTCTACTAAATATTATGCTAAAGCACACTAGGGATCTCTAGCTAACCAGCCTTCTAATCTGGTGTTTTGCTGCCCAGTGTCTAACTACTTATTCTATACATGTGTATAAGTGTCATGTTTTTGTCACACTATATACTTCCCAAACTTATTATTGAAAAGATAGCATAGTGGAAATGATTTCTTAAAGCCCATAAGAACCCCTAGTGTTTTAGAGCGGCCCAATGCCACGTACCCCTTACATCCTAAAGCAGTGTTATAGAGTACATCAATTGCAGTCTGACTGTGGATATGGTTCATTCAGGGATCCAGACTGAGGCAGTAACCACTACTGAACATTGCTTGTCATTGTAACAGAGAGAAAGGAAAACATGGTGACCCCCATGTTGACTGTTAATGGTTCTGCCCTAAAGTGATACACCACTTCTCTTTAAGTCATAGGGCTACACTTGAATTCAACGGGACAGGAATGTATAATCCCCCTGCAGAAGATAAATCCCATACAACATGGGATTGAAATGACATTTTATTTAAGATCCAAGGAAGAATGGGTTCAGAGCAGTTTTACAGGGACAGTAGGGACAAACATAAGATTGGTTTCTGCTTACATCTCACTGTGGCAGATTTTGTTTTTTGAAAATAGTCTCAATGATATCTCTCAACCCACATGTTCTAGAACTATGTCAGTCCTATCAAGAAATATAGTCAATATTAATATAACAATAAATCATCATTGGTTTATTAGTTGTGAGAAATGTACCATACTAACATGAGACGTTAAAATAGTGGAAACTGGGTGTGGATTATATGGGAACTTTCTGTACTATCTTTGCAACTTCTCTGTAAATCTAAAACTCTTCTAAAATAAAAAGTTTATTTTTTAAACAGTCAAAAGACAGAAACAAAAATAAATAAAAATTTAAAAATAAAGTGTAGGAAGGAGTAATAACTCAGCAGAACCACTGACATTGGATGACTTTGGAAAT